TCTTTGACTGGAATAAAATGAGAGACAATAAAATGCTAATGCAAAATGTTTTGAATTACATAGATTTTTTAATAACTACTATTAATCCAGATATAGATGCACAAATACCAAATACTCACTTATATCAAAAGCATATAGAATGTTGCAATGATGATTTACAAGACTATGTTGAATTGGTAAATAAACTTCAACGGCATATACGATACAGCACACTACATTGTTTAAAAAGTTAATAAGCAAACAGGTTAGCAAGTTTGTAGATTTGGGTTTCTTAAAAAATTAAGAGAAAAAACTATTATACAAGATAACGGTCGTGGTTAACCAAAATTATTAACAGCCAGGAATAACTCTTATATAAATCCACATGACTGTCTTCAGCTCCAAGAATGAAGAGAAAATATGGATTTAAAACCTGTACTTACTATCTATACTGCACTACAATATGTATCCAAGTACACAAGTAAAAGTGAACCTCGGTCAGCATTATTTTTTGATATATTAGACAAAATTCTTTGCTATAGCAAATCTAATGACCCATCTATCAAGTCTTTTCAAAAGCTACTTCTTCATATAGTAGCTTAGCATGACCTTTTAGCTCAAGAAACCTGCTACCATTTACTTAGAATTCCTCTATACTGTTGTAGTCAGAAGTTTGTAACTTTAAACCTTAATAAGGAGGCTCTAAGATTGGTTCATAATAGTGATAAAATTTATAGCAATGGTGATAATAGTCATGATATAGTGAATACAGAATTTTCATTCTTGCAATTATATTGGACGTGACTTCCTGAGCTCCAAGAACTTTTGCTCTTTCAACTATATCTAAAATACAATTATGTAAGGGGGGAAATGAAAATGCTGCACAAAAGACAACATTGTATATATTTGGCCACATCCTACTCCGTTATGAAATAGACCTTGCTGAGAAAAATTTTGTCAAATGAAAGTTTTTCTGTATGTATGTTATATAAGCATTATGCAACTTACAAATAATAATACCCTTACATAGTCAGAACTTTATGACCATCATTTACAAGAAATCAAAGCTAGGTCTTCTGATATACTTGGATTAGCTATAGATGTATTTGAGAAAAAAGATATTTATGGTAACGAATATCAACTTAATGAAGAGAGCGAAGAAGATACATGACCAGATTGGATGATCTTGTCAGAAACAGGCCCTGACATTCAAGCACACAATTCTTCAGAACTTGGTTTATATAGTACTGATCTGAACTATAACTGGGTTAAAGAAAGTAAAGATCGATATTTCATTCTTCTAGATACAAGTATCTTTATTCAGCAAGCATGTAATGAAAATATTACAGACGATAAAATCATCGACTATGATATTGACTATAATTTTTTAAATGAGAATCAAAAAAAAATTCTCAACAGATTAGAATGCAATTATATTGCCAAAATCTAAGGAAAAAA